ACTCTTTACCAATATATCATCCACATACACCTTAACCTTTCTTCCTTTTTTGTTTTGAGAAAAGTACATCTATCAGTCGCTGGTAAATAGCCCCGGTTCTCTTAAGTTCGAAGTGCATTATATTAAAGCAGTACACTTTCACAGGTGTTGAAAACCAGTTTTTCTACGTTCGCGGGGCACATCTTGATTTGGTGGTTTCCGGAGAAAACATCCAGGAACCTCATCACTGAATATTCAACCGCTGAATTCACCAACAAGTCGATCCTCGACAATGGATAATTGTCTTTTTAGCAGACAACGTTTAAGTTGGTGAAGTCGACACACATTCATTAGTTTTTGTTAGGCTTTTGCACCATAACCATGTTGAAAGCCCAAGTCGAGTATTGCACTTCTTGAATATAGCCTACTTCCATTAGCTTCTTCACTTCTCGGATCGGTTCAGCCAAGGTAGCGGCAGATGACCTCAACTTTTGCTTCGCTGGTCAGGCAGTAGGATTGACATTCAGTCGATGACATGAGACGTCAATTCAACAATCCTGATATTTCCGCTGCAGACTAGGCGAAGGAGTTTTTATTCTCCTTGAGGGTCTAGATAATATCTTTTGATTCGAAATCAAAAAGTTTGTTGATCAAAAAAAATTAACCTTTCTTGTCATCGTTGGCGGGGATTTGAAGGGTGGCCTCGCTGGTCTCGAGGCCACCCTCTATCTGGTTCTGCAGCTTGAGTTGCTTTTGGTTGATGCTGGTTACCGCTTGGAGGTAGCATCTCCTTAACTGTTTTAGGTCTCGAACGTAATGATCTTGCTGTCTCACAAGATTTTTACACCTACATGATATGAGGAGTTCACTGCCCAGAAGTTGTTCAACAGCAGTCCGTTGAAGATCGTGTAATGTGGGCGGAGAGTCAACTACTTAAAAGTTTTCGGTCCTTCTGAATTGCTTGTCTTTGTCTCCCCAATCGATTGTTACAGCATTCACACCGAGGACCTCTTTCCTTTCTCTTGAGAACCCATAAAGGAGCCCGAAAGACGTCGTCATCTCCTGTGTCTCCAGGTTCTAGTTGAATGCCGCCTTGAACAAAATATTTATCAAGCTCCCGGTGTCGATGAGGATGCTTTCTACCTTGTAATCGTTAATCAAAGTTGTGATGACAATTGCGTCGTTATAGGTGTTACCTTTTGCCGATAGGTCTTCATGGGTAAACATGATGGGGGAATGTTTCGCCTATCTTGGGACGAGAGCAGTGCGTACAACTTTCATGATCAGATCTTCTTTAGGCTTGATCGACTGGAAGACTCTCTGCCTCCTCTAAGTATTGTTGGTATTATTCCTTCGATCTAGATGGTGTTTGCCCTGACGGGTTCGTTGGATGTTCTGTTTGCTGGGGCCTTCCCCTGCCTACAAGTTGTTGCCTTGCCAATGACAAGTTCTTTTAATTTTCCAACCTTTATCAAGACTTCGACAAGGTTCTTGAGATTTTTGCATTCTTCTTTGTCGTGATCGTGGTCCCTATGATAGGCACAGAAATTGTTTGGATATTGTGCTGAACTCCCAGCTCTCATTAGCTGAGGTTTTTTGAAATATTCTTTATTTTGGATGGCCTCTACTAGATTGTCCATCGAAATTCTCAACGGGGTTATTTTTATTGGCTCTTGTTGTATCGGTGGTTGTTCCTTATATTGGGTCGACCGTTGATTAGAGTATTGAGCCTGATTATCTTAGTTGTTGTATTTAGCATTCCTTTTTTTTCATGGCGTGTTTGATTGTTTTTGTAATGATGATGAGTGTGTGTGTGTGTGTGTGTTCACTCTCTAGCCATTATCCATTGTTCTCTACACCGATTGAGGGTCGGCGACTTTTGCCCGGGCCTCTTGTCGATTGTTGAGAATATATTCCTCTGATGTGATGTGGTGGTTGTTGGTCATCTCCAATAACTCGGCAAGAGACTTTAGCTCACACAACCCGCGTACTTAAAATGTTCACTTTTTACTCCCTATGTCAGAGCAATTTGTCCGATCAGAAGTTCTAGGTTCTTTATTTCGAGCATTTCCCTTTGGAACCTTGTGATATGCGAATGGAAAATCTTTCCTTTTGACTTTATATGTAAGAGAGCTTGGGATTTCTGTGGCGGCTTCTGCGCACTGATGAAGTCGGCCATGAATAGCCTCTTGAACTCGGAGGGGATGACTTTTGCTTGAAGGGCATTAACTATTCGAGACCGACTCTTTTAGTGTAGTAATGAACAACCTACATTTGAATGTGTAACTGATCTTCAGCATGCTGACTGCCGACTCGAAAGCGGCTACATGGTTGGCTGGATCAGTGAGACCTTTATATGAATCGAAGTTGGGTGTTTTGAACTTCTCTGGGGGTTCAACCTTATAGATTTGTCGGGAAAAGTATTTTCTGCCTGACAGAGGGTTGTGGTTCACGTGGTTTGATGTCTTTCTATTTGGGCTGACCCGACACTGTCTTGGTAGTGGAAATCCTTGACCCTATCTTCTATTGGTTGAAATCTTCGACCGATGGGCGCCAATCCATCTCGTCGGTTGCTTGGTGTTGGTTCTTCTCTGCGACTAGGCTCTTGACGGTCGTATTCCTAGTGGTTCTGACTCCATGGATTTTGGCTACCTCAAGCAATGCTTCTTTAAAAGCGCCTACCATTTGTTCTCTCATCTCCAATATTAGTTGTTCTTTCATCTCCATCACTTATTGTCGCACTATCTTTCTTTTGCTATCTATGTCCACTCTTTGGTTATGTGTAAATACAGTCCTTTCTCTCTGTTATGCTTCTCTTTTAGTATGTTGAATCTTAAAGTGTTCAGGAAATCACACCCAAGGTTTAAAGTGTATAAAGAGAGGGAGAGTAAGAATAGAAGAGGAGGTGAACAGTAAAAACGAGAGAATCTAGAGCTTTTCTTCATGAAATGGTCTCCTATTTATAGGCATAGGAGATACCCAGAGTAAATAATTATATATAAGTCTCCCTTCTACACAAAGAAATTTAGGATGGTCTCCTATTTATAGGCATAGGAGATACCCAGAGTAAATAATTATATATAAGTCTCCCTTCTACACAAAGAAATTTAGGATGGTCTCCTATTTATAGGCATAGGAGATACCCAGAGTAAATAATTATATATAAGTCTCCCTTCTACACAAAGAAATTTAGGATGGTCTCCTATTTATAGGCATAGGAGATACCCAGAGTAAATAATTATATATAAGTCTCCCTTCTACACAAAGAAATTTAGGATGGTCTCCTATTTATAGGCATAGGAGATACCCAGAGTAAATAATTATATATAAGTCTCCCTTCTACACAAAGAAATTTAGGATGGTCTCCTATTTATAGGCATAGGAGATACCCAGAGTAAATAATTATATATAAGTCTCCCTTCTACACAAAGAAATTTAGGATGGTCTCCTATTTATAGGCATAGGAGATACCCAGAGTAAATAATTATATATAAGTCTCCCTTCTACACAAAGAAATTTAGGATGGTCTCCTATTTATAGGCATAGGAGATACCCAGAGTAAATAATTATATATAAGTCTCCCTTCTACACAAAGAAATTTAGGATGGTCTCCTATTTATAGGCATAGGAGATACCCAGAGTAAATAATTATATATAAGTCTCCCTTCTACACAAAGAAATTTAGGATGGTCTCCTATTTATAGGCATAGGAGATACCCAGAGTAAATAATTATATATAAGTCTCCCTTCTACACAAAGAAATTTAGGATGGTCTCCTATTTATAGGCATAGGAGATACCCAGAGTAAATAATTATATATAAGTCTCCCTTCTACCACTCAATTGTACCACTGGGTAGGTGGTCTGTGGCCCGCTTTAATACTACTTGACAGGGAACCAGTGTTTGGCCAAGCAAACTGCGTAAGAAGCTTTTTGGGCTTTGGCTGCTGGAGAAGATTTATTCACGGTTTTATTAATGAAGGGTTCGGGGATACCTAGACCATGGGTTAATACATCTACATCATTTATGTGTTGATCATAATTATTGCTGAATACAGGTTCATGAGTTATTTGGAAAGCGAACAAGTATTTGTTCTTTTATTTTTACTGTCCTCCAAAAACACTCCCTGGGCATTGTATTGACATCTTCTGAACACCAAATAAATTAACACCACTTGTTGAAAGTGTATTATCGAAATAATTTGTCTCACCCGAGGTTCTTCCGGCAAATGCTAATTTCTATAATATTTTTCTTTTTCTTTTTTTTTTTCTTACTTATTATTATCCCATTAATAGCATACATTTTAGTAAGGTGCATAATGTGAATTTCTTTTTTTTTTTGTGTACCAAGTGTTTTAAAATTTAAATTGTATTTTTTATGTAATTATGTTCAAGATGGCATGTTTAGAGATGAGGTGTTCTTTAAACAAATGTTTTGGAATGTAATTTTCTTTTCTCACTGTTATCAATTTATTAGTTGGCTATTATTACTGTTTTCTAAATCATATTTTTATGATTGTTGTTCTTGTTAATTTAATTATTCTAACTTTATTTATTTAGAATTGACTCTTGTTTTGGTTGTTGTGTTGTTAATCACTTAGCCTGAATCAAATGTTGTTTTGAACATTTCGCATTTTTTTTTTGTTCCCTCTGTGCTACCTGCTTTGTCATTTAGGACTTGATCATAAAAAATTAGGGGTATTTACAAATAAATCACATAATTCCTTTTTATTTACATATATAACGCCAAAAACTTTAATGTTTAAATATCTGTAATATTTAAATCTTTAACATCACATAAAAATTTCACTACTAAGTTTCTTAAAGTGAAATATACCTAAATTTGATATGATTTTGGCACTAAAGTTTTATGTGTAAATGTCACTTTAGGTGTTAGATATGTACATAGATAAGAATTGTGTGGTATTTATCTAAGTTCACTCTTCTTGTTCATATGGAAACATACATAATTACTGTGTTAAACCATAAGAATGATAACACTTTCCTGCTTTTGAACAATAGGTCCTGTGGATATACAATCCAGTGTAAGGCAGAAAAAAGGTGAACAAGAGTACCGAAGTTTGAGAAAAGCCTTGTGCAGGGGCTTTGGAAACCAGCTTGCAGAAAGAATGCTTCACCACAATGGCTTCCGAACACTTGGTTATAGGTCACAACTTGTTCAGGTATCTTCCACCTCTAAGCAGATGGAATTTGTCTTTCATGTATATAATGTCTTGCAATATATATATTTTAACATAGTGAGATCTTACCATCTCATCAGCCTGTTTACACACAATCCAACTGAGTTCCTTAAGCGATTCCTATATTGCACTACTGGCATATCCATCTTAGGTTGTGTTTGGGGCAGCTTAAATGGAGCGGCGCTGTGGGAAAACGCCACGGTTAATGTTTGTTTCGTGTGGTGTGGTAGCTTATTTAGAAATTTTTGTTAAAACGCAGCCGCTGCGAACCTATTATCTTTGTTGCCCCTCCTTGCATTCGTGTCTTTGCCCTAGCGGTTCATTCTCTCTGCCCCGCTCCTCTTTCTCCTCTCTCATGTCCTGTTCTAGTGATTCCTTCTCTCGCTGTGAGAGAATCGCCGAGGATCTCTGGTTCCCCTTTTGTCCACTATCCTCAGGTATCTTCTTACCTCACTCTTTGCCCTTATGTTATTTCACTTTTGAGGTTTGTGGCTTTGCTATATAGAGAAATGCTTTCTATAAATTTTATATTGAAATCCTGTTTTCTGAAAAATTTATTGTTTGTGGTTGTCGTATGTGGCTTGGCATTTTGCGGTTTAGGTTGTTTCTCTATAAAGAAATTGAGAATCTAGGGAGAGGACAACACCAGATTATATATCAATTTTATATTGATTTTGAAATTATTAGGTATTTGCAGTTTTGGCTCTTTGCTCTTTGTGGGTTTTGGTTCACTCTAGTTTTTGGCTTATTGTTTGCGGTTTGTTAGTGTTCTATGGTGAAAATGAATATAAAGAGGTGAAAACATATATTGCATATCATTTTTTTGTGAAATTTAGATTTTCTTAGGTTTGTGGTTTTGGTTCTTTGCTCTTTGTAATTTCTAGTTCATATATAATGTGCATTCTTTTTAGGCCTTGCAGTTTTTGGTTCATCTTGGTTTGGTGACCACAGGGTTAGATGGGGGATGGTGGCATGCAGGGATCTGTTGAATTCATATAAAAAGTGCATTTTATTTTTCTATGACATTTGAAGGTTTTATGAATGGGGATGGTTGCTATTGGTGGTTTGCGACCACTGTGTTTGATGGATTGTTATTGTTACTTTGCAGCTACTGAGCATTATGGGTTAATATTGTTGCTTTACGGCCACTGTATATGATGGGTTTCTATTGTTGGTTTATGGTTTTTGTGTTTGGCCATTGAATAATATCGGTATGTTGTTCGAATTTTTCAATTTAGTAGTATGTTGGTTGTGATGGTGGTGGTTGTGTGTTGGTGTTTATGATAAATTTGTGGTGGTTATGTTGGTTGTATTTGTGTGGTGGTTGTGGTGGTGGTGACGTTGGTGTGGTGGTGGTGGTAATGGTAGTGTGGTGGTGTTGGTGTGATGGTGGTGATGGTTTTGTTGGTGTTGTTTTGTTCGTATGTGTGGTTGGTGTTGTTTTGGTCGTATGTGTGGGTGTAGTGGTTGTGGTGTGTGTGTTGCTGGTATGTGTGAGGGCAGTGATGGTAGTGGTGGTGGGGTGGTGCTAGTGGTACTGTGTGATGGTTTGTGGGTGTAGTGGTTGTGGTGTGTGTGTTGCTGGTATGGGTGGTGGGGTGGTGGTAGTGGTGGTGGGGTGGTGGTAGTGGTACTGTGTGATGGTTTGTTGGTGGTATGGTGGTCGTGGTTTTGTTGGTGGATGCAGTGGTGGTAATGTGTTTTTTTTTTATGTTACCTTTTCAGATGTGTGGGGCTTAAAATGGTACTTTTGGTTTTCATGATAAACTTGTATTAGCTGCACAAATTTATGTTGCTTAATTCTTTTCATGCTAGTAGACGTGATGGCTAAGAAAAAAGAAATTAGTTAGTCTGTTATGGGGACATTAGTGATGGCTAAGAAAAAAGAAATTAGTTAGTCTGTTTTGGGGACATTATTTATGCTACTTATTGGATATTATTTACGCTATTTTCATTATGTTTGAGTTTTATTCTTTTCATTGTTGGATATATTTCATTGCCTTTTGGAATATTCACTGCCATTATTTTTTGTTTAATGCATCACTTGCTAATTCAGTGTTATTTATGTGTTAGTTGCATAAAAATGAATAACATGGATAGAGAAAGGTGAAGTAAAATTGCAGCTGCAATATTCTTAATCTATGAATATTAGAACTCATATATTGCTCGATATCTTTGTATGAGATCCACGTACATTAGCAGCAAGTGGGTTGGGGTGTTGTTTGTGGGTCATCTCACAAGATTTAACATGTTTCGTATGACATAGCTCACATTTATTGATCTATTAGAAGAACTGCACAGAAATTCTGGACTCCGTGAATCATCTAAGGATGACTTCAAGAGAGGTGCTAGCTTTAACTATCTATATTTTGTTACAAAATAAGTTTATGAGAGGAGTCATGAAGCGATTCTAACATTCATAAGTTACAATTAGCAGATATTTATTAGTTGGATTGGATGCACTTATCAACTTATCCTCATGAATTATAAGACATGAAGACCCAATATTTCAAAACACTCCTGTAGAGACTTCACGTGATTAACACTATATGTCATATTTCAAGGTAGATTTTTGTCTTCATATGTATCAAAATTCACTTAAGAGTGTTAACCCTAATATCTAACATAAATGACCTACGATTATATTGAAGCAATTGATGGAATGCATGTCGATGCATTCGTGTCAAACAGTGAAAATATTGCATATATTCGACGTTGTGGGTCACCAACGCAAAACATTATGACTCTATATGATTTTAATATGTGCTTCATTTTTTTGATGGCCGGATGGGAAGGAAGCGCCCACAATAGTCGTGTATTTAAGTTTGCCACACAAACTGACAAATACAACTTTCTGAAGCCGCCTCTAAGTTTGCTTCCATAGGGAAAAATAAAATATTTATTGCATCACAATATTAATGAATAAACTTATAACAAGGAAATATTATCTATTATAAAGAGGATATCTTAAGACATTCCCTGATATAAAATATCATTTTATCTGATTTCGAAGAACCAACAAAGCTTGGGGCAGAAAGGAGATGGTTAACAAGAGGCACTTATCTTTACATGGAGCTATTGCAAGGACATTTGGGGTTTGTAAAAAAAAAGGTTATTTTACGTGATATGCCCACTTATCTTTTCAACAATCAAGTGAATATTGTTGTCGCTGTGATGACTCTCCCCAACTATATTTGTCAGCATCCATCGCGTATGTTATTGCATTCCATCACATTTTGTTCAGATGAGCAATCAATGTTATTTCACTTCAGAAATAATTTTGAACAACTTCTGAACAAAATAGCTCTTAAAAAACCTTTCATTTTCTATCCCAATCCATCTTTCTTTGTCCTTTTCCTTGTTTGTATTAAACGAGGATTATGCTCATTGAATTTAATTTTAAAAATATATAAGCAGCATGCACCAAGCAAAACTTGATTTCCAGTTCTTACACACAATTCAGGTTCACCCATCTTCAATGCTGGAAACTAATGAAGATGGCAGGTTGCCAGACTACGTTGTGTACCATGAACTTATCAGTACCTCCCGCCCCTTTATGAGGAATGTTTGTGCAGTAGATATATCATGGGTTGCGCCTATTTTAAAGAAGCTGGAGAAGATGGACATCCACAAGCTGAGGTATTATTCAGAACTTTCAGGTCTTGCATAGGTCCATACTACTTATACCTGTCATTTGCTTGAGAAGGTTCTATGTTTCTGCATTTGAAATTGCACCATTTTTTATTAAATCGAGGTTATTTTAATTTTGATTTGTTATAATCACTTATCAGTGGTGGATTGGAGAGTGAAAAAATCGAACAAGCAGAGCACAAACAGCTCCAGCTACACAATTTAGAGGAAAGCGGCAGCGGCAGGGGTGACTCCATGGAGAGTAGAATTCAGGCAGCTCGTGAGCGCTATCTTGCTCGTAAAGCAAATAAATAAATAACTTTCGATCTAAGATGCCGAGTCAAATTGGTGATGGAACCAGTTAACAAGCTACATGTTTTCTTTTATGTAATTTAGGAGTCCAGGCGCAAGATTTCCATACCAACGAGTGTTATTGTATGTCTGTCCAGGCGCAAGATTTCCATACCAACGAGTGTTATGGAAACATCAGCATCAATTCAGGTATGGATGGAGCGAGGACTTCGTCCTGCTATCTTCTAAAATAACAGATGAGCACTTTTATACCACTACGAAATGTTTTTTTGTTGTACGACTTTAAGGCCTTGAGCAATTAAATATATCGCCAATTTGTTTTATTTGAAAAAAGATGTTACTGGATTATAGTTCCTGTGCTATATTATATATATATATATATATATATATATATGTATATATATACATTTCATTTGACCATGAATAAAAAGTAGCAGAACATTTTGAGCAGCTCTAATGCGTAATGGCTATTTCGGTTTCATATCAAATCTATGCTATTTTTTATTTGAAAAGTGATTTCTGTTTATGCTCTTCGTTTAATTTAGCTCTTATTTAAAATTTTCATCTTAAGTTTATTTCCTTAAGTTATCTATTCATTATTGTAGAAATTCATTCAAATAATATACACATTTGATTCGGTAATATTAAATAATATTCTTTCGTATTTAAATCCATTTTTTCTATATAATATTTGCCATCTTTAGAGTGAAAGAGTAAAGAGCGCAAAAAAAAAAAAAAAAAAAAGCTAGGCAATTCATAATGTTATGGACATTTATATGTAGCCGTTTAAGTTTTAGACTGCCACTTAGTTTCAATTTAATCTTTTGGTTATGCAAAGTCGATTTTAAAGTGGCTGGCCATAATTTATTAAAATAAATAAATAAATAAAAGCTGGCCATGCTAAACTTTGAGGGTATTTTTGGTAACTTAGGTATATTTGAGTTTTCCTTCCGATTTTGGATATTACCCCTTAATGGTGTCGGACTTGTGGCGATGAAGCCAGGCGTAGAGTGTCAAAGCTGGCCTTGGCTGACCAAGGTTATATAGATTACCTTTCTTAGCCTAAAGATTATGGTGGAAATTTTTGGACATTCAATTTATTTTTATAATTATATGTTGGGGGAGATTACATACAGGGTACCCAAAATATTGTTATTATGAAACAAGCACCCTCTTGCATTCATTTTTCAAATTCTTACTCAAATATCAAGGGTCATGATAAAACTCCAACCCATGTTTTTCATTTTTATCAAAGTCATAATGGTTTGATCGTGGCATGCATAAATGCATCGATTTTATACAAAAAATAACTTGGTTGTTTGATTTGTAAATAGCAATGTTTTTTGTGCTCAATATGTAATTATCTCTTATATGTTTAATAGATCATTGATGAATATCATTTCTATTTTTTTTAATAGAATTTTAATGATTATGATTTTACAAATTCTAAAATAACAAATCATATCAGGATTGATAATCAGATTGACGGAGAAGTTAAAACAGTAGTTTGAAAAATAAATCTATGTTGATTGAAGACATATAAAATCTATAGGTTATCGGATTAAAGTTAGAATAAAAGACCCATATCAGGATTGATAATCAGATTGACGGAGAAGTTGGGGGCAAAATTGAGAGAGAAAACAGTAGTTTGAAAAATAAATCTATGTTGATTGAAGACATATAAAATCTATAGGTTATCGGATTGAAGTTAGAATAAAAGACTTGCAAGGTTAAAACGGAACTTTTAAAGAAAAATGTAAATCACAAACTTCTTTGTTAATAATGTCCTTGTTGACTACTAGTTTTATTCTCAGCAAATATCAAAGCATAACAATTTCAATGCTATGATTATTGTAATGTGGAGTACTCAAATGCTGTAATAATACTAATGTTGTAATTGCAAAGTTATCTTAGTTAATGTGCTGCAGGAATGACAAATTCTTGTTCTTAACTTGGTGATCAAATGGGTGGATTTTTACCACCGCATATATTTAAAAAAATTCAAATGGCAGAGTTTTACCATTGCCAATTGCATTGCCATTGTGCTTGCAAAGCAACAATCAATTGAATCCCATCACTCAATGTGGCAACTGTGGCCTCAAGTGAAATGAAAATTTTCATTTCAGGTTCAAATCCTCTATCATTCCTAAAGGTTTGGGGAAAAAAAATTCTATGTTTAATAATTTCTTGCGTCATAATGGGGTTGATATGAAAATGCACACTATAGCTTATAATACTTCCACTAAACTTAAATGTTGCAGTAGTTTAGTACTTCACAATCTAGGAACCACTAATTTTATGTGCAAATCCAATATAATTTGTACATAATTTAACTCCAACTCGTCTTTTTTCTTGTTGTCTTAATCATCATTGATCTCCCTTTGTTTAAATTGAGACCTAAAATTTCTTCTTTTTTGAAATCTTTAATGCAGATGCATGTTAGAATTAGAATGTGTTTATTCTTTCTATTCGCTTTTAACAACAATATTCTATTCTAGTTTAACCCGTGGCACGAAAACTTTCTCTTTTTGTGAAATTTGGTATCCTAATTTTCACTTGGTATCATTATCCCACTTTTACTAGCATCTGTGATCTTATTCCAAATAAATATTGGTCTTTCTTCGAGCCCTGTAATGCTCTAGAGTCTAGACCATTGCATAAGGCTTATTCAGAATATACCTGTTGGAGATAATCATTATTCTTGTCTTTGGTAGAGTTTAAACCTCAATGCCCATATAAATGTTTATTATTTTGCTTAACATACATATCCTATGGTGGATTGGAGCAAGTATGTTTGGCTTAAGGGTTATTATGACTGTGAATAATTGTCATCCACTAGCTGAAAATAAGTGCATGCTCATCACCAAAGAAATTAATTTTAATTTTGAATGTGTAATCTGTCATACCCATTTGAGTTTCAAACTTATCTTTTCTGTTTTTTTGGATGCACTTATTCTCACGCTTTCCTTAAAGAAACATTTCTACTTGGAATTTCATTCTTTTTGGAGAAAAATGTTCAATTCATTATCATTTTGATGCTTTATATTTTCAAATTCTCAATCATTTTTTCTTGTTAATTGTGTATATTACTGTCCATTTTATTGGGATGAAAAAGAAATTACAAGATGTTATTAAGCTCTATTACTTCTCTACTTTGTCACTTGGAATATTCACTAGGGAATCAAATAGAAAAGCATAAAATAGAAATTCGATCATGAATTGCCAGATTAAATTAAGGAACTTTATAAGCTCTGACCACTATATCAAATTAACAAACTCTTCTCTTAAATTGTTTTGCCTCTTGTTGGACGACACGACTAAAGCATGTTTGCATCCAATATTTTTTTCTGTTGGTATTTTCTTGGCATCCTATAATGATGCTATTCTTTTGATGTTCTGTGATGTTACCCTATAATTTCGATGGCTCAGCCACAAACTTGACTCCCTACCTTACTTGGCGCCCAATGTTGGATGCTCATATTTATCATTGTGCTGTTCATGTTTAGTTATGATAGTCTCTACAATTAATTTTGTATTTTTTTATTTTCTCCGCACCTTATGTTTTGCTGCTCTTTCCTACCTCTGATTGGATTCGCATTGATCTTTGTTAGTTTCTCGGACTCGTGACAATTTTATGGTTGTCGTTTCTTATTACTTATGAACTGATTTAACTTGATCATTGCTAGCTTTTGTGCTTCCTGTCTTTTTTTTTGGGTATGTTGCTGCATTTTCTAATTAGAGATTGTTGTTATCAGTCATTTTTACAAAAACATAGATTAGTCTTGGCTGGTTTTTGGTACTCGCGGTTGCGCTTGAGCCACTATTCATTTTATCAGTCATTTTTACAAAAACATAGATTAGTCTTGGTGATACACAGTTTGTCTAGATATTCATTTATTTGTCATATTTTTCTTCCCTTGGTTACTCGTTGATTTACATTCCTTCTAATGGGCTTCCTTTCTTGTGGTGATACACAGTTTGTCTAGATAGTCTTTGAGGGAGCAGGTTAAATTGATGTTGGGTTATTCCTGAGTTCATCTTTGGAGACATTTTTATCTTTTTGGCTTTTCTACTCTTTTTTGTTTACATTTTCAATATTTTTAAAAGATAAAAATTTGTCTAAATATGTAATTCCTTTGTTTTTTTTTTTTTCATTTCACATTTTTAATTATCATTTTTTTTTTTTTTTTTTTTTTTTTTTTCATTTCACATTTTTAATTATCTTCTTCAATTTTAGTATTTTGGTCAGGTGTCTGCCTTCATTTTCAATATTAAAAAGAAATAAAAATAGAGATACATTTAATACATATATTAAAATAGTTAGAACATAAATGATTGTTCATATCAACAAAAAAATAAGTGTAAAACTTGCAAATATAGTATAATTAGTAAAACTTGCAAATTTAGTATAATTATCTACAATTTTTCACCAAATTTGATTAACTACAAACAAATAAATAGAACATTAAAATTTTCTAATACACTACGGGAAAAGATGTTAGAACCGATTTTGCAAAACTGATTGTATAATCACAGTATATTAGCTAGATTATTTGTGATGATATAATTACAGGATATGTCGTCGGTTAATTAGAGAAATAATTTTCTAGCATAATTCTATTATTTCTGACGATATGTACTGTGGGTTATGAATGATTGTTAACCGACTAACACAATTAGTTGTTTATCGCATAACCCACTATTTGGTAGCGTGTTAATCAATAATTTCTTTTAATAAGTGCTGGCAATTTCATTCAGTATTAATTTTATAAACTGACGGCTTTTAGGCTTATATAAGCCGCCGGTAAATTCCATAATTATACACTCCCTGCCAAATCCCTCATTTATTTCTCTTCTTTCCTCACATCCCACTCGCAGCTTCACTTTCCCTCCCCGAAACCCTCGGCCTCGCCTCGGCCTCTCTTGATTTCATCCAAGACCATTCGCGTTCACGATCGTTCCCTAACCAAACAGTCACCATTGGAGGTAGATGGGTCGCGAAATTGCGGCTTGCAGAGACCCGAAACCATTGACTAAGTAACTTTACATCTTCTTTTTTGCTCGATTCATGCCTAAAAGGGTTGTTTGGCTACAAATTGTATTTACATTAAATAGGATTTAGTGGA